GCATCCTTGTCGGATACCAGACACAACTGGCTGCAGCTCCGACAGCTCTCCATTTACTAGAAATCGCGCTGTGGTTCCATCGTGCAGTTTCCGTATCATTTCGGTGAATTCCGGGGAGAACCCAAACTTGCGTAACACCAGAAAGAGAAATTCTCGCGTAACGGTGTCATACGCCTTACGAAAGTCTAGGAGAAGTATCAGTTCGCTGAACGCCGCTTTCAACTCGGGATGAGCTGTCGCTTTTGCTAATACTGCTAGCATCGTCACTACCGTTTTAAGCATCTGCCTGCCGTGCACAAATCCCTGCTGCGATTCGCCAATTGGTTTCCCCAGCACCCGTTGAGTTCTTGTCGCTATGACTTTGGTGTGAACTTTGTAAGCTGTTTGCAACAACGAGATGGGCCTAAAGTTCATCGCATTCGTGGAGTCACATTTCTTTCGTAGTGGGATGATGAGGCCCTCTAGGAACGATCGAGGAGGGTCGGCTCCCTTCAAAAGCTCGTTTCCAATGGCAACCAATGCTGGTACCAGTACCGCTTGGTGGTCCTTAAAAAAATCATTGTTTAGCCCATCCGGCCCCGCTGCTTTATGACGATTCAGCGCCCGAATGGCCTGAATGACCTCATCCTCTGTAATGGGTTTCATCAGCTCCATGTTGTCTGCCATGGAGAGCAGCCGCTCAGCATGTATGGTGACGAAATTGTCAAATTCGTTTTCTAGGGTCTGTCCTGCGTAAGCGTTGCGGACTTTGCCTAATATAGGCTGCCACTCGGACCCGAATTTGCTCGCTATGTTCATTCCCCGGGTAAACGATTCCCCGTTGATTCGTTCAATCGAGGGGACCGTCTGGTCCTTCTCCCAGTTGGAGACGCGTTTGTAGTCCCATCGGAGTTGGTCCATCGTCCGCTCTAGCTTTTGACTAAGACGGATTAGGTGTTCTTGGCGTGCGTCCTCTTCAGAGACCTCTAGCAGTCCGCGTCTGGTGAAAATTTGAGCCCGGTTTTGGGCCCGCAACGCAGCTACTGACTGCTTCCGTCGCTGTGCCTCGCTCCGAGTGATTTCCCGTATGCAATCTCCACACTTTCCTGCCGTCTTATCCCACGTACGTGTCGATTACTCTCTTCCAACTCCCACACGCATGAGTGCTTCCAATACCGCTGTTTGAACTCTTGCCGGCTGGGACGATCTAATTGGGTAGATCACTGACCTGCGTCTGCGACGCTGCCTCCCTGTGTGTACTTTGTCGCTGAGATGTAGCCGTACCCGCTGATGGTCCGAGGGGGCCGCCGCTTCTGCTACTTCAACTCGGTCAATCTCTGCTGTCCAGCTACACGGGACGTAGTAGCGGTCAATTCTGCTTGCCGCATCAGGTCCCCAGTATGTAAAGAATTCGGTTGGGTCTTGGCCCTCTTCCTCCTCATCATCGGCTTGTTCCACGAATCCGTGCATCTTCTAGCTGCAGTTGTTGAACAAGCCCGGTTAAGGCATTACTTTCTGGTCGACCTGACCGTTTGCCTCCAAGTCGGTCAAGAGGCGGACGCTGAACGCTGTTAAAGTCCCCTGCAATGATCGTGTCGGCAGTTGTCCACGTCCACTCTTTTAAGCGTGTGAAGAAAACTTCCCTGTCGCTGTGAAGGTTGGGCGCGTAGAGGTTTACGACCTGCAGTGTTCCAATTGTGATAGCTAGCACCCGATTAGTCCACTTGTCTTGTTGCCACGGACTCACCGTGTCTGCGATACTTGGGTTGAGTAGAATTGCTACTTCACCCTGTTTGCTGTCATGTATACTCCAATATGACAAGGTGGGCCCGCCTGACTGGATGCGTCGCCCCCACAATCGTTGCCATTGTTGTTGGAGCTCCTCCGCTTCGGCCTCGGAGCTCACGTGAGTTTCTTGAATTAGCCATGCCATTGGCCTTTGTTGCGCCGGTGTCCGGCGCCATGCACTGAGCCACTTCATCCTACTTCCTTTGGTAAAGCCTCGGACATTTTGGAGTTCAAGTCTGCGATGCCGCACTCGTCCTGTCCGTGGTTTTCTTCCCAACCTTCCGCCGTCCTCATTTCGCAAAAACATAGTCCGCCTGTACTCGTCACTGCCATCTCCTGTCCAACTTCCCCCCCCCCCTTGGCGATCAGTAATTATGTGACTACTAACCATATTGGCTGGTTGGATCCGGTCCCCCGTGTTCGATCACTGTGTCGAAATAACGAGCCGTTCGAGTCCAGTTGACGTTCACTCCGTCTGGTGTAAACGCTTTCCTGAATGCATCTGCGTCTTTGAGGGCTGCAAGGTGTCGAACCAGCCTGGAACGGACTCCTTGTTCGTCTACTTCCTCCTGGTGGGTTAGCACTTTGATCGCTTTGTCATACAGTAGAGAGCAAAGAATGTGTTGTGCCAGTCGCAACTTGTTGGTAGTGTCGCACAGCTTCAATATCTCGTCCTTGCCGTATCCATTTCCTCGTAGTCGAGTCCAGTCGATAGTGTTGTCCGAAGCTTCGTCCAGATTTTTCGTTCTCGGGCGAGCGATCCTGGTGCGCCAGTCCTCAATCCATTGCTGCGTCGCTTTGTCCTTGCATCTCGTGGCGTAAATGCCTAACTGGCCATGTAAGCATTCCCGTCTCCACGCGGCCGTCCACTGTTGTAGTACCGGTTCCGCTACTGCTGTCAGCAATTCATCCGGATATGGGAATCGTTGTAGAAGACGAACGAGCTTGGCTGGTTCTACTTTTGCTGCTACTGCCCATTGCGTAGTATTTCCAGTGGCCAATGGGAACTCGGACTTGGCGGACGAAGGCCAGGTTGTCCCGAGCTGCTGCCACAGCTGCGACCAATTCGAACGGTTCACCGTCACGGCGTCATTCCCTGGCCCTGCTTCATCCTCTTCCATTGGGGTCGGCTGATGCGTGTGGGATTGCGAGTCCTGTTTCGCCCGCACTAGAAGTCGTATTTGCTCGCCTTCCATCGGTGTGAGGGTGTGAGGCCTCTTTTGAACGGACTGCTTCGACTGGAAGTACTTTAGAGCTGCACTCCGAGTTTCCTGCGAGCTTTCTTGTGAACTGGACTCTGAGGGAACGTAGTCTGCATCCGAGTCAATTTCTGCTTCTGGTTGCATCCACTCCTCGTTATCCAATTCCTCCTGCGCTGCCTCAGCTGCAGACTGCTGCCATTGCCGAAGGACTGCAAGGGAAATCTGATACGTCTGCAACATGTGGCGCGCAACCGGCGAATCTTGGGTATCCAGGCGGGTCGATAGTAACGCTGTTCGTTCTTCAAGTGAGAGCGCTGATACAGTATTGACCAAAATGGCTAGGAGATCGGTGTACCTAGCCGGATCTGCCTTGTCAAGTATCAAGTGGATCTCACATTTGAGATCATGCGGAATTGACATTCCTTTCATTCGTTGCTTCAATTCGGGAATGCTATCACTCCATTTGGCAGGGTCCCATGGATCCATATCTGCATCTTGGCCCTGATCCGCTGACGAACTGGAATCTGCCGCTCTCGCTGTAGCTGTCGACATCTGCACGGTTTCTCTACTCTCTGCATCGACTTCCGCCTCCTTAACCTCTTTTTGGCGCGTATGTACGAATGCGGAGTAGTGATTGCCCCAGAAACGGACAACTAGCGGCGGCGTCTTGTCTTTTCGTTTGGTCTTTCGGATTTCGGCTAAGCATCGCCCCACCTGGAGCGGAATCTGCTGCCCTGTGTCGTAAGTCTTGCGACCCTTGGACAGTAAGCTGGGGCGATATTTGGAGCAGTACCAGAGATGTTTACCATCCGTGTTATAGGCAAGCACGTAGATTGGCCTCTGGAGAAAGTTTGCCGCCGCGGCCATGAGCTCGCTGCTGCCCCAGACTTCTCTCGGGAGAAGCTCATCCCGTTGCGACGACGAGCTCGCGAATTCCTCCAAATACCATCTAAATTGCTTGCTGGATTTTTTCGAGTCCATTCCATCCCAGTCCCGGCCCACGTTGACCAACGTATTGGTTCGCGTGAAGTGGTCGTATTGCTCTGCGTTATTTAACAGCGCTGACCACTAAATGCCTCGCTTCAGCGTTGATGCGAGTTGTTCCAGTACCTTGTCATGCGCTGCAAGGTTATGATCCACGATGGCCTGAGAAAGTGCCATCACCATGCAATTACCGGTTGCTGGTGTTGCAACTTGTCTAAGTCCTAGCAAAGCCTCGATCTCCGGGGAAGACGTAACCGCTTGGCTCGCGTCCCCACTACTTAATAAAGAGCTGCCCTTAAACTGTGACATGGAATCCTTGAGGGTTTCCATCTCTTCCCGCTCCCGTTGCTTCAGCGCTACTAATTGGGGTGATTCAATAAGTTTTGGTGGTTTCGCCTTGACCAAGCGCAGTTGTGCTCGTTCCTGTGGCGTGAGAGTACGAGGCTTCGGACTTTCAGATTCCTCGCTGGACGATATCTCGACCGCAGCTTGGACTAAGGTAGCTTCTCTCTTCTCTTCCTGATCTCCTTTGTTCTCATCTTCTTCTTCGAATACTGCAAACCTAGAAGAGATTCCAAACCTTTTCTCGGCTAACGCTGCTGGATGTGCGTATAGGGTTCTCCCTCGCGACAGCGGAACGGTGGCCCACTTCTTTTGGGGTTGAGGCGCTGGTGGCTGGGACTTGCGGTTGTCCGATGCTACCGGCCCCACCGGATACAAACCCGATGTTGACCCACCGACTCTCTGTGAGTCCAGGGAGCCGTTTTCTGGTGCTGGCGGTGCTACCGCCTCTCGTGCTTTGTTTTGGTGGGCTTGACGCACCGAGAGTCTCGTCTCTGCGGCTTTCTTGAACTCCGAGAGGCTGGCAAAGGGTCGCGCCATATCCTCCAACTTCGTTACCTCCGTGTCGCTCGCTACGCGGCTGCCTTCTCCCTTGAGTTGCTCCACTGTGTACCGGCATCGCACCATCGTGTGCCCCACGTTCCCATATTGGAGACACTGATCCAACTGCTGGATATTTAAGCACCAGTGGCCTGCCATACCAAATTACTCGCACTATCCCCCGCAAAAATTCCGGGCATTCAGCTGTCTTCATCGTAAGTCTCCACACTACTGAAGATCTGGATTCCGGATAATAGACATCTAGGTTTTCAAACTCAATGTCTGCCTTAATGTGCTCCTGTAGGTACGCATTTAATCGCCCAACGTCCGTGCACCGGGGTACATTGAAGATGTCCACCACATACTCTCGCTGCGTGTCCGTCCGTACACCATCGTTGCCCAATTGCCTGGCCCATATCGATCCTGTATCCGGCTGATGCGGGTTCCGAAGCCTGTAAACGGCTCGCTTGAACGGAACTTGGGTGTCCTGGAACCGACGGGCCGTTGCTCGGTCGAAAGTGTGGAAATGAATGCTGCGTTTCGTATGGTCATAGCTGATGGTCTTGACCAAATGCAGCATTTGACGTAAGTCGTTGCTCGAGACACCGTGCTCCTCTGCAGCTAACAAAATGTCATCCTTGAGTGCTCTGGTGGCTTGCCTACTGGGTTTGACAGTGACCCATCCTCTGAGCTGTAGGATGAGTTCTCCTTCGACTTGTTTCTGGATCGTTCCGTAGAGGCGGAGACGTTCCAAATACGCTCTTAAGGAAACCTGGCGCTTTCCGACATAGAATGGTTCCTTCCACCATGCCCGTGATGATCTTCCATTCGTCCTTGGTGCCTTCTCGAAGACCTCGTCCACTTGGTGCCGCTGGGGGCCTTTCACACAGCTTTCGTAGCAAACACATTGGCCCGTTGCAGCAATACTTTTAATCTTGAATAAACTAAGGACACAGTTGACTTTCAGTATCGTGCAGTAGGGCGATCAGTTGTAAACTAGAAGGGACAGTTTCTGTTTTTGTTCGTTGGGAGCACTTGGTCACCAAGTTGGTGACCGTACGTTTACAGCACAGTGTGCGCGCGATCTGATCATGAGTGCGCGGCAAAAGAAGAGCCCGGTAATTGGCGTGGCCTGAAAACTTTTCAGTGAAAAGTACCGGTACATGTACAGATGAACCCTTCGGTAGTACAAGCCTACGATAATATTTCCTTCCCCTCGTAATATGGAATTCGAAACTATCAAAATAACTGTTCTGAGGTGCTTAACTATGGTTAATGTCACTATTGTACAGCATGTCCGAAGTAGGCAAGCAACGACACATTGCTTGCCCTCTCCTCCCTGCTAAGGTCGCATGTAGACGCGACTGCATAGCAACTAATTCGTCGATTACAGGGTCTTCCTCCTCTGGCTCACTGTACTCATACGCATAGTAATCAAGCATTAATAGACCAGTAGCTTCAGCACTAAGCAAATATCGAGGGTGACATAGCATTTCAGCAGTCGATGCTCCATACCGCGAACGTCGACGTTGTAAAACTTGGTCGCTTACGACACCACTGGGTCGGCTTCAAGATGATCATGAGCGTGCTGGATCGGGTGACGCTGGTAACGCTGCTTGAATGCCGCAATTATTCCAGCGCCAAGAGGCTGGCGTGGAAGTATTTGAATTTCAAAATGCTGGCAAAATAGCAAGCTCACCATTGGTTAGCAGGATGCGGACTAGGCCACAGGCTAAAAAAGTGAATTTTTCGTCAGTTATGTGCATGTACCTTATATAGCAGTATTTGTTCACGATACAACGCTATCTGGCGCAAACAATACAGTTTCAAATTTAAAACGCCATAATAATTCTAATCTGCGATATTTTCGCATATAGCTCTATCACTTTTAATATAACTAGGCTGCAGCTGTAATATTGAATTCCACCCCCCAATTGCAAACGCGCAATGTTAAAACTATAAAGTTAAGCAGTCGAAATAAGGCTGCGTAAAAGTGATTTACTTTCGCTATGGGGCGGCGAAAGTAACCGGTCAAAGTGCTGGTAGAGAGTTAATACTGTTAAGCTTAAGATCGTCAAAGTCTTTGTTTTGGCTTAGTGAGGTTTGTTCGCAAAAATCGCTAAGTGCCGCTGCTATTGTTTTCCGAGCCAAATTCGGCGACCTTAGTATCGGGTTTATAACAGGCAGAAAGCGAGAAACACTTTGCGTGAAAATCGCT